AGAAACATGTGAAAGCGGAGGCAGTTGTGGCCACTATAACGAACCACAGTAGCAAGGACTGCTGACTTACAGGTGCTGGACCTAGGAAGGTGTACTGTAACATTTGAGGTCAGAAATTGATGTCATTCGATCAGGTGTAAGTTTGAGCACTCAGACCATTGGCTCTTACACCGCAAAGCCAGCGGTCATTGGTCAACAAAAACACGCCTTGCTGAATTCCCTTATTTTAACCCTGAGAGAGAGAACTGAAAACTCATTCACTGGAGAACAACAAAAGCAAATAAACAACAGTTCAGAAATTAAAAAAAAAAGACATACTCTGTTAATTTCTTTTTACTATAAAGTGATGCACTAAAACTCTCTCTCCAGAAGCTGTTCTGAGTAAATATAAGTAAGGTTAGAGAGTAGAAATTCTGTAAAAAAAAGTTCTGTAAATACCCAACAAGTGATTGGAAAAAAATGCAACAGTAAGTGATTAAGAATTTTGATGTAAAATGTAGAATATAATTTTGGTATGTCTGTGTCTAGCGTTAGGAATAATATTAGGAGAGAAGCTGTTATGACCAAGGTCATAATGTGATTAATTTATATGTATTATCCACTTAATATTATACTCTGGGTTTCTTTAATATTAGCTAAATTAAAGATTCCACTAGTTTATAATATTATCTGATTTAGGAATGTACCCGGGTATGATGTATATATATATATCTTGAGTAATGTGTTAGATAGGTACTCCTGGCTAAGGTTTATAACAAGGTATCTCCATTGGTGGGTAGTTTGCACCGCTCTACCCTCTCCCCCTTTTGACGAGTTGATGTCATGAAGGAATTTACGGTATATGGCAGTTCACTCTCTCTGCTGACTCAGTGTGCATTGACTGAGCTACCCTCCTAGTACTCCGCCTTATTCTCACTTGGATAGAGAATTGGGTTATAGAAACTCCTGATCCAGTTTGTGGTTTATTGTGAAGTCTGCTGACAATGATATACAGTTATCTTCAGGTTACGATGTGACGACCAGTGTCAAGCTTAGAACTTTATGATATATTCCTTATGCCAGGGAGTTACTCAGAAAAAGTGTTAATTCTCAATATATGTACTTACACACAAGTAATGTTACTATTGAGGAAGCGATAATATTCCTCTGATCATTGTCAAGTGTAATGACCATATTGACATGTACATTCTATTTAAGAGTTTTCTTGTGTGAAAGAAAGTTTCTGACAGTGATATTTAATAGATATTTATGAATATCTAAAGTATTTAAGCTTTTAAATAAAGAGAAACTTGAAAACACTGAGTAACTATTATTTGTGCCTTACATTTCTAAGTTTGGAAACATATCCTTTCATTCTATGAAGTGTGTTGTTACGGAGTGCATTAACCTGGCTAAAGATTAAGATTTGAACCGTAACAGAAGCAAATAATGAAAATAAATGTCATAGGAATACAATTAGAAGTCTGTATAGCCCTTGTGGCTTAGCCCTTCTTTTTTAAAATAATGATAATATAACCCACTATGATAACATGAACGTAGATAAGCATGTTTATGTATCAACTTGCAATGTGAACACTGATGTTGTAGTGGGCAGGCTTAGGCTTGGTTACAAGTACTTCTGGCAGTTTGGAGACACACAGATGATGATCAAACTAAATGCAAATTATGTAGTCAGGCATATAGTCACTTTCTTGAACACTGTGTGCTTAATTGCCCACTTACTGAGGAATATAGGGATAGATAGTATAATAACCTGTGTAACATGTCAAGATATCTTATTAATGAAAATAAGATACCAGATATACTAAGCAAATTTTCTAAATTTGTTTGTAACAGATAAGTGAACTGTAGATTTAAATCCAAATGTACGCCTGTCAACCCCCTTTGGGGCCTAGTTCCTAGGCCTTTTGAGTATCCATATACTCTTGCGCTACCGTCCACAGGATGGATATGGGATGCACAATAAACTAGCAACTTCCGTGGCCAAATACAAACAATTTAAAAGAATTTTGATATGGGGGATTTATAAAAGAAAAAACTAAAATTTTGAATACAGGACGATAATTATTGAAAAGATGCCCTTTTTTTTCCTTACTTCTTGATGATGCCGATGTTGATATGAAGACAGGAAAAAGATAGGTTTCTTGCTAATTCTCAGCGCACAACTAATTCTTCAGCATAAAACTAATCCTTCAGCACACAACTCTCACTAATTTTTCAGCACACGAGTTTCACAATACTCCTTCAAAACATTATCACATCTGCTAGGAAAATGGAAAAATGATAAGATGGATAATGAGAACCTTCAAAACAAGGGATTCCAAGTCAGTGATGATTTTCTTTAAATCACTTGTTGTCTTTAGGCTGGAATATTGCTGTACACTAACTGCCCCTTTCAATTCAGGCGAAATGGCAGATCTGGAGAATATACAGAGAACTTTCACTGCACGAATAAGTACAATAAAGCACCTCAATTACTGGGAACATTTGAAGCTCCTTGACTTGTACTCCTTGGAACACAGGCTAGAAAGATTCATTATAATTTACACCTGGAAAATTCTAGAGAGACTAGTCCCAAATTTGTACACGGGAATCACTCCCTACGAAAGCAAAAATTCGGCAGGCAGTGTAACATCCCACCACTAAAAAAAAGGGATGCCGTGAGTACACGGCAGGGGCCCAAGACTGTTCAACAGCCTCCCATCATACATAAGGGGGATTACCAAAAGGCCTCTGCCTGTCTTCAAAGGGGGAGTTGGACTGATACCTACAGTCAGTATCTGACCAGCTGGGCCATGGCTCGTACGTTGGATTGCGTGTAGCCGATAGCAACAGCCTGCTTGATTAGGCCCTGATTCACCTCGAGGCCTAGCCATGTACCAGGGCGCGGGGACGTTAACCCCCGGAACACACACCAGGTACCTATTTACTGCTAGATGAACAGACAGAGCAGGTCTCGACACGTGATGTTTGTAAGTCGACATAAAACCCTAGTGGGTGATACTTGGTATAAATAAAGCCCCAGTGGGTGACATCTTGTATAAATAAAGGCCCAGTGGGTGATACATTATATAAATAAAGCCCCCAATGGGTGATACCTTTTGTAAATAAAGCCCCAGTGTGTGATATTTTGCATAAATAAAGCCCCCCCCCCCGCTACTACCACCACAATTCATCCTACTAATGTTTTGTTAGTGGGATGAATTGTAAAGGACCTGCTTAGTATGGGCCAACAGGCCTGCTGCAGTGTTCCTCCTTTCTTATGTTCTTATGTTCTACTACTACTACTACTACTACCACTACTACACTATACCACCCTAAAAATTTCTCTACCACCACTCATCTTCCCGCCTTTATATCCGTCCTGCCCCACTTCT